AAAAGGAAAAAAAAAAAAAAAAAAGCATGAGTATATTCAAGATAAAGCAGAGTGCATAATTTGTTCAAAGATTATGATGTCATTGCTAAGGAACAAACACAACTGTAAGAGAAGATAACAACTGGTTGCCACAGTGCACCTAAATACTAATGGCACATTAGCTCTCAGCTCTCAACTCTATTTCTCCCTATCAGTTCATGCCCAACTCTCCAAAAAAAGTTTATCTATACATCCAAGGGTTAAGACTTGAGGATGGCATGAAACGATGACTTAAAAATCAGAAATTTCCTGTGAATTAACAGTCAGCCACCCATGATTTGAAAGTTGGGATTTGTACATGTCTACTTATCGTTTCGGTAACTAGTAGATAAGTGAAGAAAGTAAACTAACAAACAACTAATTCAAGAATAAGGCAGTAGTTTCATAGCTAGTTCATAAAAAATACGAATTTTCCAAAGCCATATTACATCTGAATGATGTAAAAAACTGACCATAATTGTTTGAGCACCTCTCCAGCATATATCGAGAGTCAATTAATACTGCATAGATAACTGCTACTGCACCTTCATCATACAGAGCAGCAGCAACAGTCTACATCAAAAAATAGTTTAGGCTCTCAACAAAGAAAACTCAAAGCACAAGCTTAAAGATTGCTTTAAAAAAATAATAAAATAATTATTAAAAAATGAAACAGTAACATACCGAGTTCTCCGAAATATATGCCAAAATCTGGAATGCAGTTGTCAATTGTGCTATAGAAGAGTCACGAAGAGTAATCCCGTCAAAAGTTTTTTCAGAAATGGTTTTACCAAGATTGTCCATTACATTAACATCAGAACCAGTAGGTTCTCCAGCATTATCTAAATCTGTCAACTCTGACACTAAAGTATTGGCTAAATTAGAGTTAGCATCTCCTCCAGATGCTAATACAGCAGCATATCGTAGAAGACCAACAGCCCCACTCTTATGGTAAACAACACCAGCATCTACCCATTCCAACAACCGAGTGGGAGCATCTTTTCTATTAGACCCTGGAGGAGAAGAATGCAATGCCTTGTAAAGCTCCATGGCATGCACAATCCAAGAATCAAGAGAAGATGCAGTGGAGTCTGTTACAATGACTTCAAAGATCTCAGCAGCCGAGTGAGATATCGCTAGATTCAGAGGCAAAGCACCTGAATAACACCAGAGGAGGGAGAAAAACACATTCTCAACAATAAAAATAAGAAATAAGAAAGTAGCAAGAACTACAGAAAAATACTGCCAAATCCATAAAAATAAAATTACCACTGTTCCGGCTTCCTGACTCTGGTTCTTTGACTAATCGTAAGGATTCAATAAAGATGACAATGGCCTGGGGGAAAAAAAATTGAACCATAATTGGGTGTTTCTTTTATAAGAAGTAATCATAATTGTTCGAATCAGGGAAAAAGAAAAGGAAACCATAGCAGAAAAACTGTAAAAAAAATTATAGGCCAATCAAATGAGTTATCAGTATATCCAAATCAAAATGCATTTATCAATCTAGTGTTGGTGGCTAATGAAGTTAGTAGAAGATTATCGCAGTGGAAAGAACAGGGGATCTCAAATAAGATCTCAAGTTAGTAGAAGATTATCGCAGTGGAAGGTTTTGGGTTAGTGAACCATCTTTAATGGAGGAGGAGGTGGGAGATTGTTTATGAGCCTGTCACAGAGCCAAAAAGATAAAGGAAAATAGATAAAGGGAACAACGAAAACCCCCAAAAAATTGAAAAGAAAATAAACCCAGCCTCCACCAGAGCCAAAAAGCACATCCAAACCACCCACAAAAAACCAAGAGCAACTAAACGTCAAAATTTGAATCGACTTTATCCCTATGTATCTTCTTCTGATATTTATGTTCGATGGAATTCCATTCTTCGTAATCATGTCAGGAGGTTGCAGTATAAGTGAACTTTAATGATTATGTATTCAGTTATTGGGTCTTATTATTGTAACTTTTTAGCTTTTCACTTATAGATAAAAAGTTCTATTAAATAAATAGATAAAAAGTTTTGTTAAATAATTACATAAAAGTAGGTTATGTAACAAAGAAATTTTAAAGCCTTTAATACCTCAGGAAAGTATGTCAGAGCAAGCAACGCCTGGCGTCCACAGTCAGATCTGCAAAACAAAAGGTAGGTCAAATGATTGATTATGTCAAGTGGGAGAACGATAAAAGGAAAAGAAAATCCTCAACTCCACCTAGAAATACTACAAAGTTCCCACAAGACCCATAAAAATTCTTCTGAGTTTGGAGTTGTCAAGAGTAAGCGATCAATTGCCATGACCTGCAAAAAGTATATGAAATTTGTTTTATATCACAGTAAATGCAACTTTGGAGGAGAAAAAGAACGGTAACTTGAATCAATAAATCAGATACCACTGTTGTTTATCGACAAGGACAACTTACCACTCTCAAGTGTATCCGTACAATCATAGCAACATTTGACGGCTTACAAAAAAAGTTGTTTGATATAAGGGTTGATGCATATCGAATGGGCATACATTCTTCCAAACTGGCCTCTTCATCACCCATTAAAGCATGAATAATTGTCGCTGAAAGTTCAGAATGGTGGAGTAGGAATATCAGACCTGAAAAGCAGACCAATATTAATGGTTGTGATTCCTCGATGTTAGCTTAATACTTATGATTGTATCTTTATGGACAAAAAAGAAACACAAAAGAATAGAACGAAAAGAGAATGGTAATGAGAATGAAGGGAAAAAGATAAATACAAAAATCCTTAATTATAAAAACCCAAGTCCCATCTAACACCCTCTTATCTTCCATTCCGAGTAGAGTTTTAAAGGCCACAAATGGATTGATTAAGCAATCGACCTCAAAATGACTTTTCAAAGCTATAGAGATCTTCCATTCATTATGAACATTGAGCCTTGAAATAACCATATTGAGTTCCAATTCATCTCAACCAATTCTTTTTCTTTTTTGACCCAAAATGCTTGTTGGTTAATCTGCCGTGGCTTGATCTGAACTATATTATCAAACAACACTGTCCTCAGACTTTCATCTCTTTCTAACCTTCGAAATCTTCAGCTTCAGGCATGGATACAAAATCATTCTGTATGAGCTTCATCATAAATTCTCTTACCATTTCCCAAACAAACGACCATCCCCTTTTTTATATAGGAAACAGAAACCATTTCCTGTTTCACTGATATGATGAAACGAATACAAAAGAAGAATCCTATTAGTAATTCCAACAGGTACTACGATGCAACTTCTCATTCCAGAACTAGTTATAGTGATACATGCAAGGCTCTGATTATGCTGTTTATGCTTCGTTAAAAGTCAACTGATACCAAATTCTCCCTTAGCTTGTCTAAGAAAATGAGCCTTCAATGAACATTGCAGCAAATCAACCAAAGTTTCTTAAAACCAATTGAGTTGCTTCCTAGGAAGAGAAATATGAAAAATAAGAATTGCCTCTCTTTTCTTCCAACTTGAAAACACAATTTGATAGTGACTGGATGAAAAAGAACTGGTTCTCCATGCAAAACAGAACCTAGGAATCTTCAAAACATGTCAAAAGATGAAGAATCTAAAGAGGAGAGCGTTCCATTGCTCTTTGGTCCCCCTGAACATCTCGATTGCTTACACCCATTTGTTTCTTGTTCAAAAAAAGATTCAAAGGAAACATCTTGCTATTTCAAAGAGGAAACACTTTGCCTAACCGAATGAGACCCACCCTCTTGGATACTCCCACAAGAATCCTTCACCCTCCTGGGACAATCCCACAATACCCTTATCTATCCCTATTGACACCGTTTTGTGAAAGATATGAACAACCACAAGGAGGAGGGAGGATAAGGAGGTCTCCTTGCCTACACCACTGAAAGAAAAAGTTCTGCCCCCAAACTTACCATTTATCAAAAAATTAAAGTTGGTTGCACAATGTAACTCTAAATGAAGTACATGTAGGATAAGGATCACATAACTTTTTTATAATCAATAACAAGCTTTCTTAAAAATAGAAGAACCAGATCTCATTAAAATAAATGAAAGTAATAAAGAAATGGCCTAAAATCAGTTCTAAAAAATGAGAATGCCTTATTGTTGACATGTTATTGCTCTGATTTTATGTTTAGAAAATGAAACAGTTACATGAAAGATACAGTGACCAACATCTGCTTAAATACATCCAAATTTGCTAAACTACATTATTTTAATTAGATTACTATAAATAAAATTACAGTATATGATAACTACCATTTCAATAACACTACTATTTTCCTATGTGCAACACAAGTTGTATGAAAAAGTGGATGAAAGTTTCACAACCTGAGCGACAGAAAAGAAGTGAAAGGATAATGGCTTCAATAGAAGATACAATCTCCAAGATCACATCCATGATTTTACTCTCCTCTGAACGCATTATGGAGGATGACAACAGTGCTGCTGAAAGAGGAAAAAACCCTCTCTCCTGCTTTCAGAAACATATTTACAGAATTAAAATATCATCTAAAACCAGGACAATGAAGGTCATATGGTTCAATCAAACCTAAGACTATATGAAAACAACAAAAGTTGCCAGAACATTTGCAATGATTCTTCAAATCACACCATAAACGATAAAATTGGTAACAACTGGAAATTCCCTTGATACCAGCAGTAGCAATTGAAACAATCATGCCATCTACAGGAAGGCCGAGGTACTGATGGTATACTTGCCTCAATATAAAAATATCTCTCATAAGAATAACTGACCCACTAAGCTAGGCAATGTGAAAATGAAGAATCAATAGAGGACAAAGGATCTACAACAGGGTATCGTACTTTTCTCTAAGGTAATTTAGTGACGTGAAGGAGTAAAAGGCAACATTCAGTGGCTAGATCATCTGTTGAATAAAAGTTATGAGCTATTGCACAAGGGCTATGTGAGCTCTTTTGGTTGAATATAATCCTTAATAACTTACAAATTAAGGGAGAAGGTCTGTTAAAGTTGTATTGCGGCAACAAATCAGCTATCAATATTGCACATAATCCTATTCAACATGATAGGACAAAGCATATGGAAATTGATCGACATTAGTTATACGCTCTCACAACTTCAACCGGCAGATATACTAACAAAATAACTACACAACTCAATAATTCATGAGTTAGTATCCAAATTGGGAATGAATGATATCTATTTCTCAACTTGAGGGAGAGTGATGAAGGAACGACCTTAATTTAAGGAATATTTGTGTAATCCCACTAAACAAGGGAATTCATTAATCCCCCTAGTTTTCAATATTGTTTCCTAATATCTAGAGATTTATTTTTTTGTATTGTTACCTGGCATCTAGGAATTTTTTTTATTATAAAAGGCACATGTACTTACCCGAAATTAATCAAGAATAGAGAGCAACATAGTTTGTACTTACAACAATAACAAATATGAAAAATGTCGTACAAAATAATCATAGAATGTAATGACATATTTTAGAGGAGGATAAATACACAATAGTACAATAAAATAAATCAGAACTCAGAAATATGGAGACAAGTACCAAGGTTGCCAACCTTTAGAAGTGCAAGTAAATGAGGATCAGCATCCCATTGTGAAAACCTACACTTGGATGAGGATATCAAACAACTTGTCGCTTTACATGTTAATAAACCATCGGTTTGACCAAGAAACAACGATTTCATAGCACAGGAAGGTGGAGAAGGATCTTGAATTGGCCCACACAAATTTATCAAATTCTGCAATTGCACTTGTCAATGTCATAAACTGAGAATTAACTTCGGAGAAGAATTACCAAGAAAATCAGTAAGTTGAAACTGGAATGAAAAAAGAAAAAAATGCAAGACAACAAAACCGACCAAAATTTTTTTAAGGTGGGACTTCATACTGATAAGCACGTCCAAATGAACATTTGGAACTCTGCCGCTGCTAGAAAGACCTTCCAATACAGACAAGATAGCACACTGCACAAATGAAATCATAACTTTTCCCCTCATAAGAATGGAAATGTAGCCATCTATAAACCTATAATTTATAGTCAATAGATGAACAGAAGCAGATATATCTAAATGAAGCAAAAAAAAAAAAAAAAAAACTACCTCATATCGTAAAGCAACTTCATAAAAGCTTAGGCGTTGAAGGATACGAGTTGCAAGAGATGCAATATCATGACGTGGTTTTTGCAACAACAAATTCAACAACTGACTATAACCTTCACTAGCTCCAGATGGAACATTTTCATCTTCACGAGGCCACCAACCTAATAAGCCTTCACATCCAAATGAATGTTGGGTAGCCTGTTCGATAACTGCAAGAAGAAGCAACGTGGCAGAAGTAGAATCTTCCAGGCCACTACTTAGAAGTTGCACAATTTGTTCCATTCCACCACCATTGACAAAATGGAAGCAACTCTCTTTAGCAGAACACAAGAAAAGAGCCACACTTAACCCAAAAATGATAGTGATGTTCTGAAATAGGATAGAGAATAACAAAATAAGCAGTTAGAGCAGCAAAGGGGGGATTAAAATGTATTCTAAAAGAAAACTTCAACTAAATTTGTAACACGTTTAACATCTCAAATAAAAACAAAACATCTAAAAAGACCTTCAATTGCCAAGGACAACCAACAGTAGAGGAGCTCAAGTTAAAATTCCAATGCTTGCTCAAAATATCCACCAGCTGTTTTGAAGAAGCCAAATCATCCTCCGATTCAAGGAAAGGAAACTCTATGGACAAGTCAGCTGACACATCCTTTGAATCTTGCATAGCTTTACACAACTTAAGAAGATCATTTTTGGCATTATTGAAAATAGCACTCAGTCCTTCTAGATCTTTGGATCTCTCACAAATGTAAGAGACGTAAGAGGAAGCAGCTGAAATTACAATGACTAATATTTTATGAATTGCATCGCCTGGACTCAACTGTTCCAACATGCTGGCCATTAACTGTAAAAATTGCTTAACCTCAGCTGGAATATCCAATACAACACCAGGCAGTGACAACTTCATCAGAGAAGTCACGGGCTCATCGAACATTAAACCATTTGAATGTAAAGCCAGAGGGAGATCTTCTAGGTTCCCTTCAGCAGAGGTAACAGGGTTATTTAATGAGCTATCATCCAAACCAATATTGAACTGTCCAAGATCCTCGGCTGTATTTCCATAGATCACCAAACTTAGGCTGCGGTAGCTGCCTCTAACAACTAAATGGTTACTTACAATAGCCTGTCAAACAAAATAAATACTATTCAACAAAAAAGACGTCAAGCATAAGGAATAACATTACCTAGAAGTTAACATTTGAAGAAAAAGTGTTATCTCTGCTTAATTAGAGAATATACCAGATCTAATTTTCTTAAGAAGAAATTAGAATATATGTATATATACAAATAGAAAATTTACAGTCATAGGACTAGAAATCCATAAAAAAAGAAAACAAAAACAGACAGACAAACAATAGAACACAAGATGACATGTAACCATCTTGATTCTTCATGAAAAAAAGAAAAAACATCTAATAATTCTTAGTCATCAAATGCCAAAAAGTGATAGAAAGTGAGTAAATAAATGTAACAATAATCCTGTACCCAAAGAAACACAATTTAAAAAACATTTGTCCTTTAAGAGCTCTAAATCATCCACGTGCATTTTTTTTTTTTTTATGAAGAATCAAACTTTCATTAAGAAAAAAGGAAAGAATACAAGGAATCTAAAAAAACCATGTCCAAAAAAAGGAGTCAAACTAAAGAAAATAGTTCCGGTTAAATAAAATGGGACTTAAAGGTAATATAAAAAAAGCTTCATCGCTGATGCCCCAGAAAAAGATAGAACCTAACGAGGGACAAAACATCACTTATGTCTCTATCAACTCCTCTAAAGGTCCTACAACTTCTCTGCAGCAATCACATAAAACTGCACAAACGTCCACTTGTCACAAAAGTCTTACCATCTCTCAGAAAGACGGGGAGGAGGAACTCATGGAGCATCTCTCTACAACCCTTATGACTAGCAAGCTAGAAATCAAACACATTAAAGAAAATCAACCACGATCAAATGATCCAATACTAATTAGAGCATCTCATCTTATACCAAATATAATAACTAAATTATTCATAATTGGTGAGGTCATTTCAAATGAAGGTTGCAAACCGTCTTAATAGGTGTAGATCTAGTAGATTTATCCCTTAACAATAATAAAAAAATTCAAGGAATTTCTTTGGATGTAGTCTCCAAGCAATCTCGATACCAATGGTACTTATTCTTCTCGAACATTGTGAATGGTTCCAACAGAGATGGCTCCAATACCTTCTTTTGGGAGGATTGTTGGGTGGGTGTACTAGATTTAGACATGATTTTTTAGTGTTGGTGATGTAGGCATATTATTAGAAGGTTATTTTGTAAACATCAACAATCTTAATCCAATACAGCAATCAAAATCAAGCCTAATTTACAACAACGCTCTCCAAGTAACAATCAGAAAAATACTAAACAGGTTGCAGAAAAAAATCAATAACATTTTTTAAAAAAGGTCAACCAAGTATGTTACTTACCTAGCATAAATTGTCACAACTTTTTAAATATTATAGTTATGCTTCTCTTTTGTCCAATTGGAGGGGTTTATCATATCTCCTTTGGATTGACGTTTTTTCCCCTTTTTTTTGGTTTGTGTTTAAATGAAAAGTCAGTTTTCATTGAGACCAAATAAAAGATCACACGGGAACACAAAATGCACTCTAACAAGAGCCCAATTAATTCTTACGTAAACTTCATACATTGACCGAATTGGGTCTAATCAGATAATAACAACAATAATCTAAACATAATTGTGTTGTCACTCAGAAGATCAGTAATGTAACATTGACAACATCATAAAAAAGGTTATCTCCGTACAATAAATTACCTCAACTTCCAGAACATTTGATGATGAATGAGAATATAGAAAAGGCTGACAGAGGCGCCTAAATCTTGTCTCTCCCTCGCATTGAACAAACACTTCCACGGCAAATGAAGGGGGCAAAGTAGCACTAAAAATGAAAAGTAGACGCGCATTAAAAAAAAAACTTGCTCCCGGGCCTCAGTAACGAAAGAGAAGGGAACGATAAAAAGGGTATAACAACCATGACTCATTGATACCAAAATAGTACTTCGCTAAGCAAACCTTGAACTTAAAATCAAGAGTCAAACTTTCATACAAGTGCAAATCTAAAAATCGAATGCTCAGGAGTAAGTAACGAGTTCAATTCTGCAAGACACACATACCCAGCGAGTGCAACTGCTTGAGAGGTAGACGAAGCATTCTGTTCGATAAACTCACACGCAGTAATAACAACTGGTTCAGCAAATAATACCTGGGCTTTCATCAAGTAAAGTATGTCAGTTGTAAAGATGCTTATATTCGCCTTATCAAACTAATATGTTTGTTCAGATTTGGAGGCCGTGCCATTGGACAAAAAGTGAAAGAAAAGGTACTTGCCTCGTCAACGTACTCGTCGAGGTGGGGGTGAGCGAAGGTCTGGGCGAAGAGAACGTAGGGTTCCGGCCGACCCATCTGATGAGGCAGTCAAAAGACCATGGAAGGGGAATGTGGGGTGGTGATTCTGTGACCTAGGGTTCCGGCGGCGGGTAGACCGGGGGATTTTGGTAATTGGAAGGGGTTTTGAGGTTTGCCGCCACCGACCTGAGCGAGGGAAACTGGGTTTTAGCGAGTATGATCAAAGTGGCGTGAGTTCGAACTCGCTCCTCCGAACCCAGTCCGGCGTGCCGAATTTTTTCTCGTTCTTCTTAAAAATACGTTTTTTTTAATGGTTTTCGAATTTTGTGATCTAATGCAAATTCTGAAAAATAAGACATGTTTATTTAGAAAAGTACGATATTTTTAATTTGAAATGCATAATTACATTTTAAAACAAATATAAATACATAAATAAATAAATGGTTTTACATCATGTCAAATTATACGATATTACAAAATAATGAAAATTATACAAATTTTTTAATATTAGCTAATTAGTTATAATTTATATTTTAATATTAGGTGGGTACTACAACTAGTTTATAATTTTACAAATATATTATTACATTTGGATCAATTATTTAAATTAAACAAAATTTGAATTATTATCCAAAAGTACAATTTTGTTTTCGTTAAATTGTTTTTTTTTTTTTAACTTTGTTTAAAATTATTTGTCTGACCCAAATAATTAATTTTAATTTAAACATGATGTATGAAATTAGAAATTTGAATATTTGATAAAAGAATAAATATATCTAAAAATTAGAAATTTGAATATTTGATAAAAGAATAAATATATCTAAATTAGTTGAATTATGCTTAGTCTAATATCTAATATTTATTATTTTAGAATAATATTTTGATATAAGTTTTGATTATTACAATTTTGATTAAATTAAAAGTTTAATCTTCTAACTTTTAAATTTATATTAATTTAGCACATAAAGCTTAAAATTACATTTTCAATTTTCTTTGTCCAATTGGTTTCATACAATTTAAAAGTGTTTAATAATCCTTGAACTCTTAAATTTATAATCCATAAATAAATTCCTTAATTTTCAATATTTGTATAATAAACCATTGGCCTAATCAACATTTATTGAAAAAAACAATTAAAAAAAAAAACTAAATTATCAAGCTCAACAACGAACGAACACAATGAAGTACTGATCTTAATCATGTCTTCAAAACACGAACAGCTCCCAACCAAAGGATCTTTTCTATTGATTAGAGATCATTATATACCATATTGAGGTAAGGGTACCCAAGCCGAAAGAACAGATCAATCCCTTTGTTATAGTCTAAGAATCCCTTTGTTCTATTCTAAGTAGTTGATACTAGAAGAAGCAAGCATGAATTAATGATGTACAACTTGACTGTGAAGTAACTCGACTGCAGCTGCCACCACTCCCTTTCCTTCTGTAGTAATGTCAAAACGCGGCTCCTCGATCTTCCTATTCAAAAGCTTGTCAAGCTCCCCGCGCAATTTCTGAAGGAAAGAAATGAAAACTAAATCAATATAAAGGAACCAATCATCATATATTTACTCTTTTTCACCGTTGGATATATAAACTTCCCTCTTGTATACTCTGCCTGCAATGGCGATTCAATCCTAGCTATCTAAATTTGACATACGTATGCAGCTTTCCAATGAACAAACAAGTGGTGAATGCAACAGAAGTCTCTAGAACAGCCTTTGACAAATCCAAGTCTCTTTGGGAAAAATGAAAACTTTGCAGGGCCAAACAAGTAGAAAATAAATTACGTCGCGAAGAATTACCTTTATTAAATCTAAAACATTCTTTGAAGCAGAGAAATGGAGGTAGCCACCGAGCATTTCAATGCCATCTCCAGTTTTGGTAGGTACAAGATTACCACCAAACAACAAAAGGGCATAATCTGATATATTGGTAGAGTCTCTGATGTATATACTAGTTGTTTTGACCTTCTCGCTGTAAATCATGTAAGGCAGAGGGAAGATATGAACCCCTGCATTGACAGATCCAGGATGAATATCCACTTTCCCAACTTCCTTAGTATAGAAGGCTGTCCTCTTTCCTCTTCTTTTACATTGTACGACATTAGGGTATAGTCCAGCACAAAGCACTGCACACACCATCTCCAAATCGTGACTGTATTGGTTGTATGCCTGCAGCACAAGTGTCATTTATGTTAACCTAGAAACGCCTGATATTCCTTTAATAAAAAAACAAAAGAAAGACTTCTTCCAACTTCTAATCCAAAAAGAAAATGTAGGAAGGGAGGATAGAGGCTGAAACCAATGGCAAAGGACATGAAAGATGCGGAAAAGAAAAAATCCAGCGTGTCAAACTTGAGAATTCATGAAAACAGCCAAGTACTTCTTCACAAAAACAATGGAACATTAGCAAAGTTCAATCTAGAACGACATCCAACAAAAATGTGAACAAACAACCAGCCCTCAAGGAATTAAACTTCACTGAGATCAAAACTTAAGGATTGGATGCAAGATAGAACTCAAGGTCAATGCCTTTTATTCAGTTGCAGAATTGCATAAAAAATCTTCGAGAATTTAGAAGGGCAAAATCCTTCTCTTTACAGGCTACTAATTCTTCTGTGTCTACGCTGTGTGTATTACTACGCATGCTTACTATTAACCAACACCTAACTCACTAAGTTCATTACTGTTCATTACTGATAGGCAGATATATATTGTTGATGCCAACTAGTTGCTAAGTTACTACCTTACCATCCGGTCCACACGATGGCTTAGGCAATGCATCAAATATATTTACCAAATACGAACTTCATAAATCTTGTTAAATTATGAATTTTTCTTTCTGTTTCAAACAAGCTTAATGCAGCTGTACATCAAAACTAATAAGTTCAATGAAATAATTGATGTGCTGCACACAGTTGATTTAAAAGTGGACCCAAAATTTCCCTCCCTAAATAAGCTTGACAGAAAGCTTACACTTGGACCCCTGGACTTGTTCACAAAGCCAATATCAGATAATAGATCTAGAAACTGCATTCTCATGTCATCCATCATCTGCAAGGTTACTGGAGATAAGAAGTTTTCCCAGCAGAACGATCTTTCAGCTCCATTTCTTTTTGCATCCTTCCATCCTTCAAAGGCTTTAAGAAGAGCGACGTGGTCACTGCAATAGGTAGTTTTTAATTCCAATTTCAGAAATAGAAAACAAAAAAATCTCACAACAAAAAAAAGCTGAAAATCCTCCGTAGTACAGAAGGGTATTTTTTATCACACCAAAAATATATCACCTGCAAGAATCACCCGAAAATGATTTCTTTGCATCATTTGCTTCCTCTTTCCTATTAATGGGCAAAATAAATGGATCGCGGTGAGCCAGAGCAGCGGCAATGGTCAAGGCAGGATTCAGGCATTGAAATATAGAACCCATGAGAAGCATCTTCCCTATATTTGGGTCCAGAGGTAAGGAGCAAAGATGACGACCTGCAACGTGGCTTGGAAGATTAGTGATCACAATTCTACATTCAAAAAGAAAAAAGAAAAAATAAAATAAAAAAATCCATAATTATATACCCAGTGGTGTAAGCTCCTCCATATCATCTAAAGCACCAATTGTTTTGAGAAGTTCAATGGCATTCTGGACAGCAAGAGGGTCTGGTGGCTGTAATGCCTGTGCCAAAAATGACCCAGCAGTTCCTAGCTGCAAACTTTTGATATGCAGACAAAGTTCTTGTAAAGGAGTTCTCAGAATTTCAGGTAACTGATACTGAAGCATTGCGTCGTGGATAATTTTTGGATAGAGTCTATAACAAACACCAGGTTGCACACGACCAGCACGACCTCGCCTCTGAAAATTTTGCAATCAACTCACAGGAAAAGCAACTTGTAAACCAAACAACCTAAGAGCATTAAATTTGGATATCACAAATTTGTATTTCCAGTATTCTTCTTTCATTCATTTACCGACAAGCAAGGATATACTTGTAGGAGAGGGTTTCTTAAAATGGTTTTTTGATCCTCTTTTGGGGTTACCCCCCCACACGCCGCCAACACCACCACCATCACCTTTAGACTTGCTCTCCCAGCTTGTTACGGGCAGGCATTCATTGTACTTTCATAAAGTTTATTTTCTGCTTTCTAAAAGTGTCATAAATTTTAATTTACAATTACAAGAAAATGAATACCTGGTGTGCTGAAGCCTTGGAAATCCATGAAGGTAGCAGACAAGCAAGTTTGTTCAGAGCATCATAACTCGTTTCCTTCGCTTTTCCACAATCTATGACATAGACAACGTCGTCTATGGTGATACTACTCTCAGCAATGTTAGTTGCCAGCACAATTTTTCTACAATGGTAGACAGATGTGGGTTAAAAGGAGAAAAATTTAGCAAAAATCAAGATTTATTCTTCACAAATTCGAAATCCATGAATTCCTGAGGAACTAAAAATTCCTTTGACATGATTACTCCCAGTTGGCAGATGGCTCCTTTTAACTTCCATCACCTCTTACCTGAACCTGAATCTAAGAGTTCTTTACTACTATGCTACTTCTAGTTACTTTTAACAGTTTTAAGTATGGCTGGAAATCCATTGAACAATTATCAAAGTCTTGAAAAAGAAAAAGAATTCCCTTGCTTTCTTTTCGGCAAATTAAGAGGGGGGGGGGGGGGGGGGGGGGGG